TTGGTAGCCACCAGAGGGGTGGGGGGATGGGCAAAATAGTTGAAGGGGGTTAAGAGTACACTTATCATGATGAGCATTGAGTAATGTGTAGAATTGTTGAATCACTATATTATACCCTGGAACTAATATAACACTGTATGTTAATCGTAGTGGAATTAAAAAATAAAAGAAAAAAGAAAAAAAACCACAGAGTATGATCAAATGTGATAAAGTGGTCAGAGCAGTTGAACCCATTGTGAGTTAGCCAGTGAGAGTAAGCTACTTGGAGAGAGTAGGCCTGGTTTTCTGTAATTGCTTCTTGGATAGGTTAGCTTTCTGCTGATGGAAAATACTAAGCAAATCTGTAATCTTTGGTTGAATTTTTGACCAGAAATGCTTTTATTAAATTTCAACATACTTGTTTAAGAATCTCAACCTCTAGAGACTCTATCCTTAGGATGGCAAAGGAATATGTATTTATACATTTTTAAAGAGTAATTAGGATTTACATTGTTTAGATTGACACCTTAAATTATTTGTTTACCATGTACTTAAAATATTTTCAAGAAGTCACTGCTTTTGGGGTGCATCAGTCATTAAGCGTCTGTCTTCAACTCAGGTCATGATCTCAGGGTCCTGGGATCGAGCCCCGCATTGGGCTCCCTGCTTCTCCTTCTCCCACTCCCCCTGCTTGTGTTCCCTCTCTCGCTGTGTCTCTCTCTGTCAAATAAATAAATCTTAAAAAAAAAAAAAGTTACTGCTTTTGATACGCATTTTAAAATTTCTTTTGCTCTGTAATGACATTTGTGGTACGTTGTATATAGTGTTAAGAACTGCTTTTCTTCATTGAAATCCTTTCATAAAAATTTATGTTAACTTAATCAAATATAAGCAATATATCCAAGGAAATATTTGCTATTTTAATCTATTACAAGTAAATAGATTACATTCAATAATTTCTATAGCTATAACATTTTTAAAAAAGCATAGGTATCAGAAGAGGTTTAATCATTCTGAAAAATACAAAAAGTTAAGAGTCCCATTTTTTGACCTGTAAAATACTCACTTCCTAACTCCTCTGACCGTCTTTGCAGCTCTTTGTATTGTTTTGTTCATCAGCTATTTCTCACTGAAATTTCTGCTGCCATCCAGTGTTAAACAGGCTGCATATCAAACGAATTAGCCTCTCAGTGCTCTACTTTTCCAACAGCAATGGCATCTATCATTTTATTTAATTTCCCAGTAAGCAACCAGGGAGTTATTTCTGATTCTCTTCAGCTCTCAACTTTTGATCATATTCAACTCTAAATTCTGTTTCACATTTTTCATTTACAGTGTCCAAACCCACTCCTTTCTGTTGTTACAGTGGTCAGTCTCTTTGTCCCCATTCTTATCTGTTGAGCTTATAATAGGACAAATTTCTAAGCCCAATTCTGCTTTATTACATAAATCAGATTAATAATATTGAACTTAATTATCCAACCTTTTTATTTTTTTAAATTTTTTTAGATTATTTATTTGACAGAGACAGACACAGAGAGAGAGGGCACATAAGCAGGGGGAGAGGGAGAGGCAGAAGCAAGCCTCCTGCCGAGCAGGGAGCCCGATGCAGGGCTCGATCCCAGGACCCTGGGACCATGACCCGAGCCGAAGGCAGACGCTCAACTGCTGAGCCACCCAGGCGCCCCAATTATCCAACCTTTTTAATACTCTATCTATAAAATAAAACTTCAGAGGTTGAAAATTTGTCACATCAAGTCTCTGTTCTGTTACTCTGCCCATATTGACAACCAAGGATTTATTTTTACCCAACTTGGCCATTCTTGCAGTTCTGTTTACCATTTTTCCCCCAGTTATATCACACATGTAGAAGTGGTTTTAATATAGTCCACATCCTTAAATAATTGTATCTAGCAAATGTACATAATTCTGTGGTTTAACTGTGCTTACCTATGTACTCAGTTGATACAGTAGGTTTTATAGTTCCCATCATCACTGTTTTACATTTGGAGAAAGTGAAATTCACAAAATAAGTAGCACTTCAGACACAGGCAAGAATTGATTCTGAGGCTGTAAATATGTTTATAATTTTTTAAAATTCTAAAACATGACTTCAGTTTGCTTTTAAAAGCAAATACAGGTTTAAGATTTAACAATATTGATGTTAATTTTGTTATACTTCAAATGATATTAAATTGTGATAGGTGAATGTGCCTTTCTAGTAATTTCAAAACAATAATTTGATTGCATGATTTCACAGCTGAAAGCCATTATAGTGCTTTGATTTCCTGACAATGGGAACATAAATACAGAAAGAATTCAGATTATTTGCTCTGTTATAAAAATACCTATTACTAAAACTTATCTGGTACATTTTCATGTGGGCTAGGAAATCAGTATTAAGATATCCAACTACTTTCTATCCCTTGATATGACTAGGATAAATATTCATCAAATATGTCATCATATTTCATGTTTCCTTTGGTGTTATATTTGTATACTAATTAATATTACATTGTACATATTGTTATACCATATTTGCATTGTATTGTATTTGTATAATATTTTGGAGAATTGTAAAGACTCAGAAGACCAGATCTGAATTTTTAAGGAATTATTCAGAACTCTTGTAATACTAAAAACTATAGGGAAACATAATTTAAGTCAAGCCTGTGTTTCTCAGATCAGGTTATTTTTAAAATGCATTTTTTCTCAGGGGAAATCGGAGGGAGAGATGAACCGTGAGAGACTATGGACACAGAAACAAACAGGGCTTTGGGTGGGGGAGGTTGGTTAGCACGGTGATGGGTATTAAGGAGGGCACGTACTGCATGGAGCACTGGGTGTTATACGAAAACAATGGATTGTGAATCATCACATCAAAAACTAATGATGTATTGTATGGTGACTAACATAACATTATAAAATTTTAAAAATTAAAACCATTTTTTCTCATTATAAGACAAATATATATTTATCATAATATTGCAAAGACATAGAAACACAAAAAGAAGAAACTAAAATTACCTGTAGTCCCTCTCTTCATATAAAACCACCAAATTTTGGTCTTACAATTATTTTTCCCAACAAATAAAGCAGTGTCTGGCACACAGTGGGTCTTAATAAATATAAGAAAATTAATAAGTGAGTAATTACTGTATGAATGATGGATTGTAGTATAAGCCCTAACAATTGTTTTTTTTTTCTTTTTGTAATGCAAGTGCCCCACTTAAACTTGATTGTCAAAGTGTCTACTTCAAAGATGGCTATTTCTGATAGAAATATCAGAAATTTTTGATTTCTGATCAAAAAATCTACTATGGCTGACATTGTTAACCATAGTAGACTAGATAAAGGTCCAGGCCGCCTCCCCTGACTGAAGCTCTTTTGTTTTAGAGATCTTGGTTGATTTCAGTTATTGACCATTTGGGTCACTTGTTTTTTCTCTCCCCATGCTTTTAATTCTTATTCTTATTTTTTAAATTGACCAATAAAGAGTGAGCCCACAAAACCTTAGGCTTCCATCCTCAACCCCAATAAAAGCAGAACCCCAGCATTGTGATTGCTAGCTCTCTCTCTTTCTTTCTCTCTCTCTACCTGTGACCTCAGTGTGTGGCCCCCAGGTGTGCTGTATAATTTGCAGGTCTTGGGAGCAATAAACTTTTAATTTTTCAAAGTCTCCTGATGGCTATTGCTGAAGGCCATCTTGTAATCATAACCACAACATTGGTTATTGAGAGGCTGAGACCAGCACAAAATCTTGATATACACCCATATGAATTTTTAAAACAAACCTAAGATCATAGAGTAGGCATTGCTTTTAACCTTTTCCCCACTTACTGAGATACCTCCAGCAATTACACACATTCAGTATTCTAGTACCCTTCAAATTATTAAATGATTTAAATAGGTTAAGTATCATTTTAAGACCCACATCCTCTGAAAATCTATGAAAAGAGGTCACTTTAGCATTTTTTTCTTTAAATTTTTTTATTGTTATGTTAATCCCCATACATTACATCATTAGTTTTTGATGTAGTGTTCCATGATTCATTGTTTGTGCATAACACCCAGTGCTCCATGCAGAACGTGCCCTCTTTAATACCCATCACCAGACTAACGCATCCCCCCACCACCCACTAGAACACTCAGTTTGTTTTTCAGAGTCCATCATCTCTCATGGTTCATCTCCCCCTCCAGTTTCCCCCCCTTCATTCTTCCCCTCCTTCTATCTTCTTCTTTTTTTTTTTCTTAACATATATTGCTGAGCACTGTGATTTATGCAAGACTGTTGAATCACTTTAGCATTTTTTGAATTAGCACACCATACCTGTCATTGATATTGCCCTCCTTCCAACCTCTACTGGATCCCTACAAGTCCAGACTGTCCCACAATTGGAGGCAATCCATCCTTCCACCACTATTGACTTTATTCCCTGACCTCACACCAGTTTCCTCCTAAGAAATTATTTACCATTTCCCAGCAACGCTAAGCTCTTTCACTGTGGGAGCCTTGCCACACGCTTTTCCTTCTGTCACAAATGCTAGTCTCCACTCCTCCTTCCTGAGAACACATATGCAGCCTTCCAAATGCAAATCAAAGGTTTCACTCCTGGATCCTTTGTCACAGTGACCTTCAGGAGTCAGCACAAATTACATAGAGCAAGTCACCTAATAGAAATGGAGAGACCTGAAATTTTAAGTCAACAGAAAGAAAAAAGGAACATTTTGATTTGCAGAGGCAATCAAAACTCTAGATGAAATTATTTCCCTGTTGTCCCATTAATAAGAATAAGTCATCTGAGGGATGCCTGGGTGGTTCAGTCGGTTAAGCAGCTGCCTTCGGCTCAGATCATGATCTCAGGGTCCTGGGATCAAGTCCCTCATCAGGTTCCCCGCTCAGTCGGGAGCCTGCTTCTCCCTCTCCCTCTGCTTGTGCTCTCTCTGTCAAATAAATAAAATCTTTAAAAAAAAAAAAAAAAGAATAAGGCGTCTGAGTCAGTACATTCTTTTCTCTTTAGGAAACAGTGGCGTTTAATTCTTCTCTTCTGAGACCCCGTGTGATTGGAGAATGGATTGGTCGAGAAGAGAATGATGCTGACCCACTAGCCGCTGAAATGCTACAGCCCCCAGTTCCAAGAAGTAAAAATGAACAATGGGAAAATGAAGATAATAGCTCTAGCCCTGCAGGAAGGTGAGATGAGATGTCTTCTAAGATTCTGAATATTGTTGATCGTTAAAAGCTAACAGGGAAATAAATCCAAAATTGTGATTTTAATGAAATAACTTAGCAATTTTATATAGAAGATTATGCTGGGTTGCACATGAGATACAAATTAATTTCTCTTTTAAAATTAAAGTTTTACTAGATTGCTTTTAGATTTTGGTTTTAATTTTTTCTTTATATCTAAGAAAATCACCATCTCTTTGCTACTAAAACCAAATAGAGGAATAATTTCAAAGACATAGGTTGTCAGTCAAGACCCACTATAATGCTGGGCAGGGAATGGCTGACTATTAAGAACTGGAGATGAAGGAGCTTCTCATTTACCAGAGAGATGTAGTTGATCAACAAGAAGAAAACTATTTATAATAGACCACATGAAGCAGAGTTAATGTAGAATAAGAGAGAAAAAGTTCCGTTTAGAACCATTTAAATTTAGAGTTGGTAACTATGATTGAACATAATTCATTTTCTTTGTTTAATTTTGGAAGCATTTATGATTTTTGAATTTGAAAGTTTCATATTTATTAGAAAAAAGTATATTCAGAACAACCTTTTTCTACCAACCGCAGTGAGTAAAACCTCAAAATGAAAACTTCCACAAGGAAGTTGGAGTGAAAAAGCATTATGGAGGCACGGCTTACATGAGCCTGAGAAAATGGATTTAAATGCTCATGAATTGAATGTAAGAGAGCCACAACTTTCTTTGGGTGCTGCTAGATGACCACCACAGAAGAGATTTTCCTATGCATAGCATAGCCACAGTAACTTTGTATTTCCTACATTAAATTTGGCAGCAACCAATAACTGTTCTTTCTCAAGGAGAAAATTGTATTTTCTACAATGTAATAGCTTTTGGGGGGTTTTTACTTTGACTTATCACTTGGCTAGAAGGAAGGAAATTCAGAATACTCATTAATGTGCTTTAGGCATATAGAAAATTGATTCTGTTTCCATGAGAAATAACTTTTAAATTATTTAAATAGTTGAAGTGTGGTCCCATGTAAGGAGAAGAAAGCCATTTTAAAAAATCCATTTACCTTCTTTTGTGAAATGCCAGATCAATTTCACCTGTCAATGAAGGTAATTTTATTTTTAATACCAGACTTATGAAACCCACTAGACCTTCATCTTTAGTCATTGCCAGATCTTTAATGTAAAGTAGAGAAATGTCAACTTTCATTTTGCTTTCATTTAGTCATAATAATAATCGGAGCTATTTATTGCAAATGTTAGTGCTTCTATTTTCTTCCTAGCTTCAGTGAGCTCTGATTCCCTCTTGAATACCCAATAAAGGGGAATCTTTCCTTCAATCCAAGTCAAATCCCTGTCCAAGAAAACTCAACCCATGAAGACCTCTCTCAAGTATTTGTTATGAAAAGTTTTTCTTAGTGTTACTGTTCTCTATCTTTAAATCATGAATTGAGGTATTCTGTATGAAATGAAGACAGGTGAAATCCCACCCCAGTGCCCCATCAGAGCAGAAAGAATGCATGCATATCTGAACTTAGTTTAAAGAGTAGCAATAAACTATGGGTTAGAAACGGTATCTCTCACATCTTCTAATACCAAACAGGATTCCGAATTTATATCAGGAACTCACATAGCATTAGATTTGAATTGGATGAATAAAAATGGATTGGGAGAAATTTTTTAATGACTCTAGAGGCTATAACTAGAGCATTAGCTTTTGCCTTTAAAGAGTAATGAACTTGTAGTATAACGGTCTTAAAGATTAACAGGCTAAGTGGTATTCTAGGCTTTGGAAGGAGAAGATTTAATTTTCAAGGATGACTTCTTCCATTTTTCTCTCCCCTACTGGGCCTGGTGCATTGTCATTACCAATAGACATCTGTTGTGTGAGTGAAGGAGGCACATAGAAGGCTGTGAGTAGACATCTGCTAAATAAAGCTTATTTATAAGAAGGGTTGTTTATAGTCTATCCTAACTTTTTGCCCCTTCCTATCACAGTTTTTCCTGTTAATTGCTCAAGTCTAATTTGAATGGCTGTTATTACAACACTCCATCTTTAGTACATAGCCAACTTTTTTCCTTAGGTCCTGCATATGGGACATTGTATGAAGAGGGTCAGCAACTTTAGTACACAGAGCTGTCACCTGAAGGGTTAAGTTCTGGTTAAAATGAAACCAGTTATGAGGGCAATATGGAGAAACTAATAGTAGTTTAGTAGTTTAGTAAACTACTAGTTTATGGAGAAATTAGTTTATAGTTTCTCCATAAACTAGTAGTTGCCAGGGACTAGAGACAAGAGTGACTGACGTGGGGTCCCTGACCCGTCCATGGTCTCTGGATGGACCCAAGAGATCTCTGAATCTCCTGAAATTAAATTATGTGGACAAGGCTCTGTGGACATGGGCATTTTCCTGACACATCTTTCTTAGATTTTTCAAAAGGTTCTATTAAGTTTAAGAAAGAAATTAAAGCATCTAAGCAAGAAAACAGGAATTTATAAAAGAGAGAGGTGAATACATTGGGGAATAATTGAAGGCTTTCTCATACCACCAATTGGCATGAACTGCTATGGCTTCTCTAGCCATTTAGTGGGAAATCCTGTGTTTATTGCACATTTAGAGATATTAAAAATAATCACACGTTGATAATGTAAATGTAAATAAAAATTGAGTGTAGTAGATCTATATAATTCTGTTTTAAGCTATCTTTTTTTTCTATTTTAAGCCATCTTAATTAAACTTTGCAATAGCTGGGTAATGGATTTCTTAAAATTACTAGCTAAATTGTAATGTGAATTTATAAATAGGCTTATCAAGCCTTGAAAACCTGATGAAGCTCCTCTAAGCTTAACCACTTCATGAAAGCAAGAATAATATCAATAAATATTATAGATCTGGTGAATTGGCTTTGTTAAGTGAGCATTGTTATTAGATGGTAAGTATGCCATAAAATGAATAGAAAATCTTATAATTTAGAAATATGTATTAAATATTAAAATAAAAGCTAACTTCACTTTCCATTAAGAAATGTTTCTTTTCATTAAAGCTCCTAATTTCTTCTGATGTATCTGTTAACAAAGCCTGGAAAAGTTCCCCTTCCTTTAGAGCTTCCTCAATTGGCAGCAAAAGACAAATAATAAACAAGCAAATATACAAATATATACCATAAATTCAAGTAGTGATAAGTGGCAAGATGGAAAATGAACCAGAATAAGAAGGAAGAAAATTAATAAAGGGCACTATTTTACATAAGAAGTCCAAGAAAAAAGAACCTTAATATTGTCAGATTTTGGCTATTTTGGACATGATAGAAAATATGTAATACATATGCCAGAAACTGAATTAAGTTTAGTAATTTAGGGATATTCTAAATGTAAATTTTAAGGAGAAAGAATATTGATTAACCAAAAATTAATCTGTCAAAGGAATCAAAGAACAGAGGCCTTAAAAATATCTAAAATATATATTAAAGAATGTACCTTATGATTCACACATTTCTTTTTTCAATCCAAAAGTATGTAACTAAGTCATGCATTTATTTCGGAATGTTGATGAGGTCATTTTGATATGTTCAAAATTTGTTCTTTCTCATTTATTCATTTATTTCTTTAGGAAATACATATCCTAACTCAAGTTATTATTTTATGAAACACATTGCTAGTTACCTATGGACTCATAGACTCACAGGTGGTCTCTTACGAGACAGGCAACATCTTGGACTTACTGTCTAGGACTCATAGCCTAGCATTATCTTCATGACCAAACCATGTATTTTCATGAGACTCAGGAAAACACTTGCTTCAACCTTCATGAAATGATCTTGGTCATTGTTGGCTGTTGAATAGGAGTTAGGCATTTTTTTAATTTATTTTTTTTAAGATTTTATTTATTTTCACAGAGAGAGAGAGAGCACAAGCAGGGGGAGCAATAGAGGGAGAGAGAGAAGCAGGCTTCCCGCCGAGCAGGGAGCCTGATGCAGGGCTCAATCCCAGGACCCTGGGATTATGATCTGAGCTGAAGGCAGATGCTTAACCATCTGAGCCACCCAGGTGCCCGGGAGTTATGCATTTATAATCTGCCATTTGTTCCTTATCTTCGACATCCCAATCTACATAGTTTTCCTTTTTCTGTTTCACTGTCAATATATTTCCCTCGATTTTCATATCTGTCAAGTTGTAAGACTCATATACATCTTCTTAAATTCTTATTTTATTTAGAGTATTAAAAAAATGGGGTTCAGGAAGAAAAAGTGAATATGTGCTAGATACTAGGTGGGACCAATATGAAAAAGAACATCCCAGATTCAAAGTACTTACTTTCAAATGAGGAGAATGACAAGGAGATATGTCTTATTTCTCTAGTACAATACCCACAATCCCTGGTATATAAAAAGCACTTAATAAATGTCTGCTAAATTAATTATAAAAACACCACATCTAGACATGTTAAAAAAAAAAGAGCTCTTATGCATAAACCAAAATGCAACAATTCAGTGTGAAACTTTTTATGATCTCTTCAACAACCTGGGCCTTATTGCAAAGAGAGTCCTTTGATTTCTGACTAGAGTCGAGAGGAAGGGCACAGATTCTGCCTGCTAGGCTGCAGTGGTGAACTAAACAAGCTTAGGAGATGGGTCAAGAGAGGAATAATCCAGTTTTCCACCAAAAAGAGCACCTGGGGTCAGATAAAACTAATACTTACCAACCTGTGTTCAGAAACAAGAATATGAAACAAAAAAAGCAGCGTCAGGCACCCAGGGAAGTGTGGGGTCAGGAGGAGGGGAACAATGGTCAGAATGTAGGCCATCAGGAGTGGGAGGAATGTTCCACCTAGATAGGTTATCTGGCGGGGGCGGGGGGGGGTAGCCACGTTAAACCATCCTGTTCAATCTGATCTGGTTTAGAATTTATCTTTTTGAACCAAAGTAAAATGCAGTCCTAGAGTATATTCACCACATTGAAGTATTAACTGCTCTTCTTTTTTGTAAGGCCCCTTTCT